GTAGGATCGGCATGCGGATTAAGAGTAAACTGCTACTCAGGGGCAGCTGTGAAAAGGCCGTCCATCAGGCATAAATAAACATTTACTCAAAAATAACCACACCAGAAAAATTTCCATCGCAATAACTTGACCAGACCTCAGAGTTTTAATAAGAGTGTAACCTAGTAGCGCCCAACTAACACTGATATCATTCGTAGAATGCTAATGGAGGGGCACTGACCTTCACCCTTCACAAAATATCATCGAAAACTGAATTTTCCTTCTTTGACTAAAATAAAAGGGTTTAACTATGTACATTGTTAATGTTTCAAAATGTTCCAGTCCATAAAGTCCACATATGGACACTAAATTCATTGTGGTTGTGATGTCAAAACCATGAACACATTCACATTTGACCACCCATTCAGCCTGTATTTATTGGTGTGGAAGATGTGGGAATATGATTAAACGTTGGGCTGTTCCTGGCTGCCAGGCAGAGGCAAAGTCAAGGGACGGCCAGGGGCGACGTATGGCTACCCTTTTGGTCACCCCACTTTTACACAAAGTGAGACAGCCATCATCAATAAAGCAGTCACCAGAGACATTTTCTTCTACCTAAACTGAGTGCCATCAAATGTGCCATCAGAGCAGTTACTGATAAGTTATAAGCGTCGGAAGACATGGTGTCCACAGCTTGTTGTTGCTCTGACAGGCTACTCATCTACTAAGCAAATAGATGAGTGAATGAGTGAATCCACACAAACCAAGCTTCATGCTCTGCTTACAGCCGCAATCTGTATCAGCGAGTCACTTTAAAAAGCTGATATCTGAAAAATCTGAAGGAAATCTGGGATGCAAGTTTCAAAACATACCATCCACACCACACAGTCCATGTGTGGAAACTAAGCTGCAAAAACAGACCAGTTTGAATTTGTTGCTTTTGTGATGCCACAAAAAACGATCCATTTTCATTTATCCGACAGCAGTTTCGCCCCGCCCATTCACACTGATGTTATAAGGAGTGTTTCAGTCCAGACTCTTATTTAAACGAGGCACAATACAGGACAGCCAATCAGAACAGAGGTAATTTACATATATATCATTCTTAAAGGCACAGTAACAAAAAGGTCTGTTTAATTCTACACTTAAAAAGATGGTTCTTCAAGGGTTCTGTAGTAAAGAAAGAGGTTCTATATAGAACCATAAACACCCAAAGAACCCTCTGGATGACTAAAAGGTTCTTTGCATCATGAAAGGGGTCTTCAGACTGATGGAGAATGTACTGTATATAGTTCTTTTTGAAAAGGGTTCTATATAGCACCTAAAAACGTTCTTCTATTGTTACAAACTTGACATAACTTTTGGGTGCTATATAGAACCCTTCTCAAAAAAGCTCCATATATAGAACCATCTACAGCATATTCTCCATCAGTCTGAAGCACACTTTAATGATGCAAAAGAACCCTTTAATCATGCAACGGATTCTTTGCGTGTTCATGGATCGATACAGAACCAACGTTTTCTTCATTTAAGAACCCTTTAACCTTTTAGCAACCTAAAAAGGTTCTTCTATTGTGTACAAGCTTGACATCACAACAATAGAAAAACCCTTTTGGGTGCTACACAGAACCCTTTTCAAAAAGGTTCTATATAGAACCATCTACAACACATTCTCCATCAGTCTGAAGAACCCTTTCATGATGCAAAAGAACCCTTGAACCCTTTTAGCAACCTAAAAGGGTTCTTCTATTGTTACAAGCTTGACGTCATAACAATAGAAGAACCCTTCTGGGTGCTATACAGAACACTTTTCAAAAAGGTTCTATAAAAGAACCATGTATAGCACATTCTCCATCAGACTGAGAAACACTTTCATGATGCAAAGAACCTTTCAATCATACAAAGTGTTCCTTGAGTGTTCATGGTTCTTTATAGAACCATTTTCGTTATTAAAGAACCCTTGAAGAACCATCTTTTTTAAGAGTGTAAGGTTTGAAAATGGTCAATTAAAAGGAATCATAACTGTACATAAAAACAGACAAATGTTATAACGGAACCTTAAAGGAAAGAAATATAATATGGGCTCTTTAAATTCCGTATCCATCCCTATCAGCAGTGCACAGTAAAGGAGGGAGTGAAAAAGCACTCTGAGTGGACAAAGTGTTCTGCCTGTTCTGACATTATTGAAGTGTAGGTGAAATCATGTATTTACAACACTGTGGGAGCGCAGAAGGTAGGTAGATATTGCTCGCCGAAGATTCAATATTAATCCTACCATTATGGCACTACAGCTGATGACTAAGACCAAAAGCAAAGGAAAAGGGAAAAAAGGAGGTAACAAGGATTCTGAGCACACAGCTGTTCACACAGACAGAGAGAGAGGGAGAGATTCTGAATCACTGTGAAGAATACAAATGTATTTGAGACAAACACTTTGTGAAATTCATTTTCAGAAAACATTCTCATATTTTCCAGAAATACAGAAAATGAAAACATCACTAAGTGAAGGATATACTGCCATTCCCATCTAGGCGAGGTTTCGTTCAATAAGAGGACATTTTTGAGGGCGCTATTAGTAGTGGGCACTGGGCAGTGTGGACAAACATGTCACACAAACATGTCATTTCACAGTATAATTAAAATGTCTCAGGGTTTTTGACGGTATACCTCACCGTATAGACTCTCAGAAAAAAGGTACTCTTAGCACTGGGGTGGTGCCCTCAAGGGTACATCTCAGTACCTTTAGTCAGGGAACATAACTGTACAATAATCCATTGAAATGATATTTTCTCTGTTGTATTGACTCCACACACCCCGTCTCGTCTCCAGGCTTTTTATTTTATTGTACATTCAGTTATGAAAAGGTACAAATACGAACTTTTCACCTGGGAAAAACTTATTTAAGGTTCACAATTGGACCTTAAAACCACTGTTGTACTTTTGAGGGAACATTTATATTGTTTGTACCTTGATGAACGAAAAATGTACCTGCATAGAACCTTTATTTCTAACAGTGTACATACAGATCTTTCTACCAACCAAGTTCAAAAGCAAAAAGAACATTTAATTTGGGCTTTTGGACTTTTATTTTGGGCTTTACACTCAATTATTTTGCTTTGATTGACCCTATATCTTAATTATGTATATTTTATTCAAATAAATGATTGAACATTCCATTTCATCACTAACGAAACAATCATAACCCAACAAACTTTACCAAATGTTTCAGTAGTGACTGTTTCAGTGGTGACGATTTGAGCTCATTTTGAGCAGAATTCAAAAACACTAGCTGGTAGATGACCAGCAAACACAGCTTTGAACAGCTGTACAGGCATAAAATCATCATATGTCTCATAAAAACACAAAATTGCAGAAGAGAATGTGTTTCAGTAGTGACAGTTCCTAATATTCCACACTCATTTTTGCCTTTGGGACACATTTTCTTCAAAACAATGGGATATAACTGTTCACCATGTGGCCATGAGGGACAGGGATGCAGTCTCACTTTCTGCTCTAAAATGCAGGGGCGTGGCTAAAATTAGGTTCCACCTATAGACTGTTTCGGCAGTGACATGAAAATGTGGGACAGCATTTTTTTGTATGAAGCTTTTCTATTTAAAAAATTAAACTTCATGAACTTCAATTTAAATCTAAAACTTCAGTTTAAAAGAAATCAAGGAGATCTTAAAAAAATTATAATAAAAACTATAAGTATTATTTTCACAAGAGTAAATATGGGGGTTAGGGTTTTGGGAGAGACACCTCTCAATAGAAAGTACCCTTTAAATGATGATTTTGTATGTATTTAGCTTATTTCTGTCTCAACGCATTGGGGTTAAATAGATCATAACATAATGCCTGTAAATATCTAAGGGCTGGACACTTAAACTGTTTTTTAATGGTGTTTTTACTCTGGGAACGCAGTTTAGTCAGCAGAATTAGTCAGCAGAATGGTCCATATATGTTGATTAACGTGGGCTAGTAATGTGAGGTAAATGTAAGTAAGTAGACTACATAACGTTTCTGTCAATTCTGTTACACATTACCATTTTGTGAACTGGAATGCCCTTAAAATGGCAGTGGAGATTTACCCAAGGCCGAGTGTGGAGGGGAGGTAGTGGCTTTCTTTTCCAGAACTAGGACACAGTGTAGATGACCAGCATTAACACAGACTCCAGACTTAGTCTGCATGAAATCTGAATAAATCTGCAGTCAAACTTTTACACTTTACATAGCCCACTGTGTCTGCTGGACAGGAGGCCAAATGACTGACAAGTCCGACCAATCAGAAGTGTAGTGGTAAGATTGAGAGCTACTCATTTTGGCACATTAGAAATTCAAAGTATATCTATAATTAGTAACTATAATGTACATTTGTGGAAATCGCAGGTCTTTAAAGTGAGTGACTGCTGTCTGATATTTGAAAATGCAACATTATTTTATTCACCCTCTGTTGGATTTTTGAGAACTTTCACTGGCGACACAAACTACCAGACCAGTTGCTGTTGTCTCTGCTGTTGGCATGGCAGCAACCAAAATGATGGATTAGCTGAGTGCCAGCATCTCGAGTTTTTTTTTTAATTGTAGCTCAAACTGGGCTATAAACATCCGAACGATACATGGAAGCACTCAAAGTTTCAGCTTCTTAACAAAGTGATGAAGCTCTTCACTTTTCTAAAATGTCTGAATATTTCACATTTTGGTGTCGTTTATTCGCCAAGCTAACTGAGCCTTTTCTCTCCATGACAGGTAGAGAAGGGAGGGGGGATGAAACCAGATATTATTGGTTCATATTATCGTTCCACACCCACTGGTACATGATGACGTAAATCAGAAGACATTTCAGAGCTGGGAAAAAGGTAAGTGTGCTTAATAAGGACCAGCGACATACAGCGACTAAAAAAAGACAATTTTGATTTTAGATCGACTTAGAAATATTACATTATTATGAAGCTGAATGCTGCGAGGGACGAGGCAGACAGCCGTGCTGATCCAGTCTCTCTCCAGGAACCTCTTCTTACCTTAATGTAGCTGGCCAGCTGTGGGTAGACCCTCTGCACCCCCAAGAAGATGGACAGAGGGGTTCTGTGGGGGAAAGAGGTGGACACTGCGTGGGTGACCTCGGGGAAGGTGAAGATCTGAAAGCCTGAATTCTCATAAAGCTCTTGCAGCTCCACACTGGGCCTTTCATCCCCCTCACTCAGAATACTGCCCACTGCACAGCGACACAGCTGACCAGGAACCTGCGTAGAACACGTACATACAGAGAAACATTACAGAACAGTCCCACAACTTTATATTTAACATTAAATCAGAATCAACACAATCTCTTATTTCTAAATGCAGTATAAATAATCTAAATAATATATAATGGCTTATAGTACAATTCATTTCTCTTGAGTGGATGCTGCATGTCAATAAATGCTTCATCACATTGCTGTTAAGACAAAACTTTGTCTCTCTGTAATGAAACCTTTACAGGAGAAGCAAAACATGTTTTCATTTTAATGTATGATAATGGAGACAGATTGTTTTCAAAGTCTGGATTATTTCTGGATTATTCCTATTGGTCCATTCATCATCCATTCGTACAATGTTAAGGGCAGCTGTTTAATGTAAATGGTGAAAAAATACAATAACGAAAAATCTAAAAATATTTTTGACAATTACAAAAAAAAAATCTAAAAATATTTGTAAAAAGCCAACAAATTAAAAATATGTGAGAATGACTAAACATTAAAAATATTTGAGAAGATAAAAAAATATTTGTGACAGTAACTAAAAATAAATACACATATATACACATATATATCACATGTTCATCACTTTCACCTGTCCATTTTTGCAGAGACTCCATGATCTTCTGCCACAAATATTTTTACATGTAATTATTTTGCCACAAAATAAACCTGGTTTATTTATATATGTCTTTTTTTGGCTTTTCATATTTAAGACATTCTGAAAAGCTAGGTGCACTGTGAATGTACGTTTAGTAACAGCTTGCCTCTCTCTCTCTCCCTCTGTCAATCCTTGTCAGTGTCTCTCATTATTAGCAGACAAGTAACCCTGAACTCTCAACCCAACCTTCAGCTCTTCAGCTCCCCCAAAAAATCCCCTCTGAAAACTTCTTAAACCCCCCATAAAGGCCTGAGCAATCTCTCCGCCTGGAGGCAGCAATTAGCTCAGCCTCTCCCTGTACCTCACTGAGCCTCAGATGCTGTAAACACAATCTCCTCCTCACCTGCCTCCTCCACACACACACACACACACACACACACACACACACACACACACACACACACTATATGAGTCACAAAGAGAAAAGTGTCCTAATGAGGACCAGCCGCTCTGCCAGAACGCAGAGACGAGAGAAAGGAAATACATTATACACAGGTAGCATTTAATAAAGGAGCGCAGCAGCTGCAGGTGAGATTGTTTACGTGTGTGTGTGTGTGTGTGTGTGTGTGTGTGTTGGAATAAAGGGGAAAAAAACATGCTGATGATATTCTGTGGCTCTAATTGCTGAGAGTGCGCCGGCTGCTTTCGGAGGCCTGTGGACAGACGCCCGGCTGTCATCTTCAGAGAGAGAGAGATTACACACTATAGGACGACACACACACAAATCAGGACGCCGGGGGAATCCAGAATGGGCTCTGCGTGAGAAGTAGGGCCTGACTGATATAGACTACACTACCGTATCAGTTCAAACTGCAGTCCCACTGTAAACACAATCTATTTAAAAAAAAACAACAGAGCAATCAGACTTTAGATAATCACAAGGATTATGCTACAATCCTCTTAAACCCAAGGAAGTAATTGAGATAGTAATAAGCCAAATATATTCAAAATCATCATTTAAAGGGTACGTTCTATTGGGAGGTGTCTGTCCCAAACCCTAACCCCTAAATTTACACTTGTGGAAATAATACCTACATTTTTTTCTATTTTTTTTTAAATTCTTTTTTAAAGATATTTTTGATTTCTTTTTAAAGTGAAGTTGATCTGGATTTATCTTGACTTTTCATTTATAAACTAAAAAAAAAAATCCCACATTTTCATGTCACTACTGAAACACAGAGTTTTAGTCTGTGGGTGGAGCCTTATTTCAGCCACGCCCCTGCATTTTAGAGCAGGAAGTGAGACTGCATCCCTGACCTGCATGGCCACATGGTGAGCAGTTAGATCCCATTGTTTTGATGTAAATTTGTCTCAAAGTCTGAAAATCAATGTGGAAAATTAAGAATTGTCACTACGGAAACACAAATTTTCTGCAGTTGAGTACATTTTTTATGTTCTAATCAAATATATTCTAATTTTATGTGGGTAGAACCATTTAAAGCTGTTTGTGCTGGTCATGTACTTGCTAGCGTTTTTGAGTTCTGTTCAAAATTGGTTGAAATTGTCACCACTGAAACAGTAACTACTGAAACATTCGGTGTTATGATTGTTTTGTTAGTATAAAATTGAATGTTCAATCATTTGTTTTAATAAAATAAACATAATTAAGTTATAGGGTCACTCAAAGTAAAAGGGTTTTAGTCTAAAAAAAAAAAAACAGGTCATGAACACAGTTCCCACTTTAGTTTGTGATGTGACCTCGACTTGCCTGTAGCAGTGCCACACATTTCTAGGAAAAAATTCTAGATTTATTTTCACCAGACTTCAGCACAATTGTGGCAAAACCAAAAGTTATTTTTTCGGTATATGCTTGATTTATATTTATGTTTTGAGTTTCTGGTGTGCAAAGCGAGTCGAGTCTTGTAGTGAAAGATTTTAGTTTAGTCTCATTATTAGCTGTAAGCATGTCATTGTATGAAACTACCTTGCTACTAAAAACCTGTCAGCTTCAAATAACAAGCCTTTCATTACAGAAGAACCTTCACTCTGATGTACAAAACCGAAGCGCTACATGCAGTAAATGTGATGTGATGTTTTAAGTGATTCAGCTACACTGTAAAAAATGAGAAGTCTGCTCAACTTAAAATGATACAGCAACTGATCACATGGCTTTTCATCATTTTGGGTTCAGCTGACCTCTCATTTTTAACAGTGTAAACTTTAGTAAGTTTTTAAATGTATGTGATCTGTAACTCACTAAAACTTCAGCTAGATTAGCCAAAACCACAGCTATATACTATCTAGCACATTAGCTAGCATACTTGCTACCCAAACTAAAAGCTAGCTAAGTTGTTTTGCCTCTTAGTACCACATTTACTGCATGTAGCACTTCATTCTGTTCCTCAAACTGAAGGCTTTTCTATAATAAAAGGTTATAATTTGAAGCCGCAATGAACCTGACAGTTCTGTGAGCTGCACCACAGCATTGTGTTAATAACTGCACAGGTGAACGTCGTAAAACTGGCAGATCTTAAGTTTGGTGGACCTAAATTAATCAGTTCTGTTTGTGATTTTTTCCTCAGGCTGAAATTCCACAAGTTGAGTTGCAAGTCAGTCAACACGCGACTTCTGCAACAGATGAACTATCGTCTCTGGCTTCCATCTATGGGGTGGATCAACAAGGTAAGTCTCCACAGTGTTGGACTGGACTGGGTCAGTAAACTCCAAAGATAAATGTGATTTGGTGGAAATGAGGTAAAAATGCTACACTGCTCACATAACAGATGCCACAGGCACTTAGCCTGCAGGGGGGGGATTCAAACAGCGGAGCAGCCATTCGTCTCTTAGACCTCTAGGTCACTCTGGCCCCCCTGTAGAGTCCTCCAGGAATAACACGAGACGCACCAGCCCACAGGTAACATTACTCAGGAACACCAAAACAGGTTTTAAAACAGCTGCTGAGTGATATTTATCAGACTTTACTACATGAGGCCCTATTCAAGCTGAAGTAGGCCTACCTAATTTAAAGGAATACTCCAGAATTTATCAACCTAATGTGTCTATACGCCACATCTAAGGCGTAAGACAATAACTTAAACATGTTTTCCTCTTCTTAGTAAATAACAGAAAACCCAGTAACTCAGAAGACATTTATAACAGGTTAATGGGGCAGATGCTTAATTGGTGCCAACACCTTTTATAGAAAACCACAAGCACAACAAGCCATGGGTACAGATGCAGTGTTGCCCAGGCAAAAAGAAGAAGGTCAGTTCTAGCTTATCAGAGTCCACTGATGAATATGCATGAAGACTACACTACTACAACCACTTAAACCATCATGTGGCCTACAACAGAACCTCATTGTGATGAGTGGGTCTATCTAAAAGAATTGCCTTGATTTATTTGAGTAATTATGTAGTGTAAATTATACAAACAAATGCAGCAAATATGTTAATGAAATGCAGCCTGAAGCATAATCACCATCATTTTCATGATGCCAGCCTTCATAATACTGGTAGGGCAGAAGACTACAAAATGTAAATAGGCCTCTAATCAATCACTGTATGGTTTTACTGTGTGCTGTGAGGATCCTCATCAATCACAGACTGTCATTTGGATGTTTTGGATTAGTCGAGGCATTAATTATACAAACATAAATCATTTTGGTCAGTCACTCTTTGGCCATGTCACCTCAAGGATCAATGTGTGTTTGGTATTCTGCAAATACCTTCAGGTATTTAAGCTCTGCAAGTATTGTAGTAATTAATAGTACAATAGTACAATAGTAACACTGTTGTTGTCTGATTTATATTCTTCTTCTTCTTATTATTATTTTTTTTTATTTTACCGCCAAATTTTCGTCTGCTAACTCATCCCGCAGTTTTCGAGATATCGACACCGTTCAACTTCAGAAGGTTAGGTCTGATTGGGAATGATGTTCTTGTATACAACGTTTTGATCCGATGTATGGTTTACGTACAATCTTCGTTATATTCCGGATTTTTTTCCCATAGGAATGAATGGTGTAAAAAATTGTACGTCCATCTACTGTACTTCTGCTCGACAAAAACACTCCGTTTGGCATATGCAATCTCAGAGCAGGCCCCTGAGCACGAATTCAGTGTTGGTCTGACCCGCACTCATCTGTTTGGCTTTCTTTCTCATCCCTCATTTCTCCCATAGACTCCCAATCATTTTTGCTCCCTCCCACAAGCCTAATTATTTCTTTGCCCAACAGCCACCAAACTGCATGTCCTCACTCAGGGCAGGTCCTCAAACTCTAATGTACAGCCGTACCGACCTGCACTCCTCTCTGTGTCGTTTCCCCATCCCTCATTCCTCCTTTACGTCCATTCACCTTAGCAACCACCTGGAATACCACAGCAACCGTCTAGCAACCACTTGG